TCCCGGAGAGAGCTTGGGGCAAATCTGTTCCTGCCGCATGGTTACCCAGAGGCGTGGAAAGTTGACGAGGGAAAAAGGGCAGGGCAGAGGCTGCGTAGAGGAGTAGAATAGGGTGGGGATAGAGGAGTGAGTCGAGAGTCTATTCCGTGGGGGAGGGGACATGGTCTGCTACTACTCTGCTACTCTGCTACTACACCGTACTCCTACTGTGCATGGCCGGCGTGATCCAGAGATGCATTGCAAAGGCGAGTGTGATGGTATGCAGGCTGCGGGACGCGGGATCCCCAACAGGCCCACCGTTGTTGTCCCGTGGCCGTGTGTGTTCTGTACCGAAGATGGAGTAGAGTGCTCTAGAAAGCTAGTACTATAGCCAGCCTCGAAGCTGCTATTGTACTACTCTACTCTTCCTGTAGTATGGAATACTAGACTCTCTTTCCTGGCATCACTGTGCGATGATGAGGCGGTGGACAGGCATGGGGCGGGCTGGGGGGCGTGTTTCCGGTTTGGGATAGATCACGTGACGTGTCCACATCCACCTGCATGCATGCAAGCGGCACGCTTACCGCGCCGAGAGGATGGAACCTTGAAAGACACACAGACAAACCCACAGACACAGCCATAGTACTATTACAGTACAGTACGATAGACACACTCACACACAGACACACACACACTCACACACACACATGTGGCCGGCGCGGGAACGAGGACAGGTGAGGCCGAGTTCCGACTGGTAGTTGCAGCTGCTACTGCTCCTGGCTATTATTGCTACCTGCAGGCCCCGGTCCGAATGCCCGTTGTGGCCATTACTGTACTCTACTGTGTACTCGTATAAACTGGCGTGAAATACTCCCATGTCGCCGGACTCTTTTTTTTTTCTTTGTTGCTCGTTTCACTGATGGTGTGTGGTGAGGATGATGATGATGATGATGGATGAAAGTTGTAGTGTAGTGATGGTGGCTGAACAATGCGCTGTGGGTGCCGTGTCCCGATAAGGAAGAGGCGATGGATGACGGATGGGATGGGATGGGATGGGATGGGATGGATGAATGGATGGATGGATGGAGTGCATGGCATCATCCTGTCCTGTAGGTACTGTAACTGGCATGGCAATCCCCGTTGGACCACTGGCTGGACAGTGCAGGCCATGCGGATGCCATGGCCTGCCCAGGTGTGGATAAAAAGACTAAAAAGACTGGACGGAAGACTACGAACAGAGTGAACGGCGGACGCGGCACACGAAGCCGGCGTCCGAGTCACTAGCGGCCACCAAGCCCACACGTCCTAGCGCGCAAGGCCCGCGGCTGGAGAAACAGGGGACCAACACACGGCCTGGTCTCCCCGCTGCCGCCATGCTGCAAAGCATATTGTACACAGCCAGTACACCAAGTACATACGGCACACACACACACACACACACACACACACACACACACACACCCTCACTGTACA